TTAAATCTCTGGCGTTTAAAAATGCCAATTCACCATACACAAGATAATTAGGCCATTAAAGACAAGGTTAGCACATTTGGAGGAATGAATCCGAGATAGAATTATTACTGAATCTCATGAACATGATGATGCATGGATAGGAGAGTTTTGAGGAAAAATCAAAATGTCAAATGTTATAATTGTGGCCAACAAGGTCACCTTAAAAGGGATGGTAGACAGGGCATTCCTAGCAACAATTTTTTTCTTAAGAATAATCCATTCAGAATGCCCCTCCTGGATTGTGTGAAAGGTGGGCCATGAGACTCAGAAATGGGAATGTTTAACTTTGTGATAGAGTATAGTCACAGGAAGTTTTCTAGTGACTTTCTTTTGACGAATATCTATTGATCATCATCAACCATATGTTAGACCTGAGCTAGAAGCTGCAGGATTTATGAAATGTTATCTTTCATAGAGAGCAGGAAGTAGCTGGGGGCACGCTACACAGAGAGATAAAAAGTCAGTAAGGGTCCAAGTGAAGAAGCTATCATAAGTGTCTGAAGAGACAACTCAGTGGTCAAGAGCACTTGTTCTCTTACAGAGGACCAAATGCAGTCTCCGGCACCCACATGGCAGCTCATAGACAACTGTAATTCCAGTTCCAAGAGATCTGATGCCCTCTTCCAGCCTCTGAAGACATAGGCTTGCACATGGTCAAATTAAAGCAGACAAAACACCAATTCACATAAAATAAAAATAAAATAAATCTTTAAAACAAAAGAAACTGTTACAAGAATGGACATGAATGGGAAGATGACCTTCCGGGCCTTGAGTCTTGGGACACAGAGTGCTGTGAGTTTGGGCAGGGTGAGAACATGCGAGGCTGGCATGGACTGGGAAGGTTTTGAGAAACAGGAGAAACATAAGCCAATCTGGAACATGGTTAGGATTTCAAGAGGCAGAGAAGACAAGAGACTGTCAATGGCAAGCAAAATAAAACAAACAGAAAACCCAGCTGTGGAGTAAGAGAAACATGGGCGAGGGTGGCGATCCAGCTAGTCTATGCAAAGGAATCTTGGGAGGTAAGGCTGGAAAAGATGGTGCATTCAGGTTCGGGAAAGTGCTAGGCTAAGGACCTCAGATTCCATTACAGGTAACATCTCCTTCATTATGAATTCCGGGACCCTCATGTTTGCTCCCTGGCTCTACAGCGAGCCTGCATTTTTAAAATGCTACTATTTAGCATTTGTATACAGCCTGCATGTGTTTCTTTGCTGTATGTATGTGTCATGCCCATACGGTGCCCTAAGCAAAATTGCACATTCTATAGGGCAGAAAACTTGGGGTTATGAAAACCGACATGACAGAGTGGAGGCAGACTACCTTAGAGCCTGGAAGGTAAGGAAGATTGAAGACTATCCACTGAGAAGTTAGGAGCTTGTTCTGACCGCCTGAAGGAAGTCCCAGTTACGACCCTGTCACTACCTCAAAGCTAGTCAGGACTGTTTTTCATGTGCTGGATGTCTGGACCTCTAGGGACTAGATTTGGTATCATCTCCCATCTATTAATACGGGGCCCTCAAATAGAGGAAGAAGAGACACACTTCTGCTGGAGACTCTAGGTGTTCCAGTTTTACATTCTTTGGGTTTTTTTCCTGATCAAGTGGGGTTTTGTTGCTGTTGTTTGTCTTGTTTGTTTGTTTTTAGAAGAATCACATATAGTACAGACTGGTTTCAAACTTGGTGTGTAGCTAAGGACAAACTTGAATTCCTGATTGATTCCCTCTTTCTTCCTTTTTCTTTCTTTCTTTCTTTCTTTCTTTCTTTCTTTCTTTCTTCCTTCCTTCCTTCCTTCCTTCCTTCCTTTCTTTCTTCCTTTCTCTCTCTCTCTCTCTCTCTCTCTCTCTCTTTTCTTTCCTTCCTTCCTTCCTTCCTTGTTTTTGTTTTTTGAGATAAGGTTTCTCAAACAGTCCTGCCTGTTCTGGAACTCGCTTTGTAAACCAGGCTGGCCTCAACCTCACAAGATCCGCCTGCCTCTGCCTCCCGAGTGCTGGGATTAAAGGTGTGTGCCACCACCGCCCAGCTCACTTTTTCTTTTTTTTATGTGTCAGGCTGACCTTGAACACACAGATTCTCCTGCCTCAGCCTCAGAAAGTGCTGGGATTAAAAACGTGCACCACCATGCCTGACTTTGTTTCCGTACTTTCTTTTTTTTCCCCTTGAGACAGGGCTTATTTGCATAGCCCTGGTAGTCCTGGAACTAGTTCTGTAGACCAGGCTGGCCTTGAAATCACAGAAGTCTGCCTACCTTTGCCTCCCTGAGAGAACTGGGATTAAAGATGCACATCACTGCCTGGCTGTTTCTATTTCTTAAGTGCTGGAATTACACACCCAATTAGACGTGGTGTCAGGGCTTTGTGCCTGCTAGGCAAACATTCTTTCAATGGAATTGCATCCCAGCCTGATTAACCCACCCTTCCTTTCTTCCTTCCTCCCTCCCTCCCTTCCTTCCTTTCTCCTTCTCTCCCTCCCTTCCTTCTCTCTTTCCTTTTGTCTTTTAAAAATTTATTTTAGGGGGCTGGAGAGATAGCTCAGAGGTTAAGAGCATTGCCTGCTTTTCCAAAGGTCCTGAGATCAATTCCCAGCAACCACATGGTGGCTCACAACCATCTGTAATGGGGTCTGGTGCCCTCTTTCTGGCCTGCAGGCATACATGCAGACAAAATATTGTATACATAATAAATAAATAAATATTTAAAAGAATAAAGATTTATTTTATTCTTCATGTGTATGAGTATCTTAGAGCGGAGGGGTTGCCTACTGAGGTCAGAAGAGGACGACAAGTCCTGTGGAGTTGGAATCACAGGCAGTGTGAGCCGTCTTATGTGGGTGCTGGGATCCAAACTATGGTTCTTTGGAAGAGAAACTAAGGCTTTCAAATGGTGATCCATCTCTCCAGTCCCTCATCAAGCGTCTTGACATCTCCAAACCAACCAAATCTCGCTCTTTAAAGAGAGCCCTGCCATGTATCCCGTATTCCTCTGATTGTCTAGCATCCCATGTCTTTTTTTTTTTTTTCTACCTGTTCTCATCTTTGACCCCAGGAGGAAATCAACCAGGAGCCTTGGAAATCAGGTGACTAAGGGCAGGAGACCAGCCCTGTGCAGAGCAAACAAGGGCTGCCTGTGTGTTTGCTTTGGTTTAAAGAGTTACTGGGGATCCTATACTAACCTTTAGTTCTGCAGGGAGCTTTGCTTCCCTTGTAAAGAGCTGGTGGAAAGGAACAGTTTCCTCACGTGACTCGTCAGCCAAATACCTAAAATTGCCCCGACCTTCTCCTCTGTGGTCAGCAAGTGTGGCAACAACACCAGGGTCATGGGCCCCAGTCACGTGTCAGGACAGTGGCCGCTCGGGACTGTCTATGTTCTTTTCCAACTTAGAGCATCGCCTTTTATCTCAGTATCCTTTCGAGTCATATTCTTTGATGACCCCAACCACTCTTCTCATGGGTATCTGCACCCAGACATGACTAGAGCCCTTCATGGCAGGACATGCACACAGTGGTCTCATTGGCCTGTTGTCCCTTGCCTTGGTCTCACAGGTGCCTCTTGACATGGTTCTCTTGGGAGAAAAGACGTGCAGCTGATGAGGATGAGGGTGAATCTAAGTAAGAGGCCTTTTGTTGTGGTTCCTAGAAGAAATAAAAGGGCAAGATATCCACCCCCTCCCACTTTTCTTCAAGAGGAGCCCTCTCATCTTCCCAGGTGTCTGTGGCTGGGAGTTTCACTGACTCTCAAGGCCCTGCAGATGTGGACCACATCTGGTCTGTTCCTTTCCCTCACATCCACGCGCAGACCTTGTAACCAGTTGCCTCCTCTGGCCTCTGCTCATTGTATTCCTTTCTGCTGATAAGTCTCTCCCTTCTCCCGTATCTATTCAAAGCTTCCTGTCCCTTGAGGTCGGCACAAACCTCCCACCTCGGCAAAGTCTCTCCAGAATGTTCCTCACATTTAGTACTAGCTCTGCTCTTGTTTTATGTGGGTCATTTTGGCTTTCCCATATAGTGTTCAAATTCCAGAAAGACAGAGGCCCCACAGAATCCTCCGCGAGCGTTCCCCCAACCCCGAAGATAGCCTTCATTTCCTGTGCTCGCGCTTACGTCATTCTTTCGGTCACTTCTGAAGGACTCTGAGCCCGCTGAATGAAGACAGAGACCCATGCATGCTGGCTGCCTGGCTGATTTATTTATAACTTATATTAAAAAGAAGAAAATAATAAGCAAAATGAAAAAAGACTGAGTATGATCTTTATTCTGGGTCTTTGGAAATGCGCACATCTAAATCTAACAAAGCCTTTACATGCGTTTCTGTCATTTAACTGCCTGCCAAGGGACTCAGACTCGAGCCTCTGTTGGGCTCAAGAATCAGTAGCACCTAATTGGGGCTGGAGAGATGGCTTAGTAGTTAAAAACACTCACAGACTTATAGAAGACCCAGGTTCGGTTCCCAACACCCACATGTGGCTTACAACCACCTGTAACTTCTGTTCCAGGAGAGTTGATGCTCGCTTCTTACCTTTACAGGCTCCTGAGTGTCTGCGGCGAACATTCACACACTCAGGAATACAAACATAAAATAATATATATATATATATATATATATATATATATATATATATATATATATTCTGTTTTTTGAGATAGGGTCTCACTAGCCTTAGCTGTCCTGGACTCTGTAGACCAGGCTGGCCTCGAACTCACAGAAATCCACCTGCCTTACATACAGAGGTCCCAAGTAAGTGCTGGATTTAAAAGTATGTGTCACCATACCCAGCTAAAATAAATACCTTATACCGTAATAAAAAGAAAGAAAGAGAAAGAAAGAAAGAAAGTAAGGAGGAAGGAAGGAAGGAATGAAGAAAGGAAGGAAAAAAGGAAGAACATCTCACTATGTGGATCTTAAAGGATCTGAGGCCTTGTCCCTGGAGAAAAGTCTGGGAAATACTTCAGAGTTATTACTTACTATTTCTCTTCCATTTCTCTTCCAGCTGTAGCGGGAAGGAGAAAGAGCTATGATCCATTGCTGCAGAACAAAGAAGAGATGACCAAGGAGGGCCAAAGGGTCAGGAGCTAGAATGAAGGGCTTTAGCTTCCAAGAGCACAAATTGATTCTCAAAGCAAACAGTGTTGGCTGAAGGGACCAATTATGCAAGCGGCAGGGCAGTCAGGGCAGTCGGCAGCACCTGAAGAGACCTCTATGTGAGGGGAGTGAGCCCGTCTGGGGAATGGCCAAAACTACCACAGCTGTGGGTCAGTTAGGAAAGGTACCCGAAAAGAGCTAAATTTAGCCAGGTGCCTGAGGGCATGAACTTCAAAGGGAAAGGGCAAATGAGGAACCTCTCACTGTGCCAAGGAGCTAGACAGAAAACACAGTACCCATGGCTGGCGATTGCCAGCCGCTAAAGGTGGCTGTCGGCTCACAGCGGCTCCAGCTGTAACTGCTACCTGGTCATAGAACAGCACCCGGGGTGCGTGTGCACATGTGTCTGTACACTGAGGTGCTTGATTCCTCCTGGAGATTTCCATCAGGAACCATATCAAGCTCTCATGCTTGCTGAGAAACTGAGAAATGTGATGTTTTCTCCAAGAACTGGGTGAAGGGCTGAGAGTTACAAAAGCCTATCAGAGTGTACCCAAGGGTCTGAACAAGCAATTCCCAGTGTGCAATAGCTTGGTAGTGCGATGGCAGATTACCACCCACCAACGGACCACAGAGGAAAGCTCGCTGTTTATCTGGACAGTGTGTCTAAGGGGCGAAGAGTTGGGAAAAGCCATAATGAAGGTGACTCTCAGGATTAAGATGGGCAACAGAAAGCAAGAGCTGAGAGTACTTGCTATTGGTACCCTTTTAGAAATAGTCACTCAGCCCTTGGAGGTTAGCATCATTTCCAAAACACAGATGAGGAAATGGATAAGCATGGTGTTTATGTAACTTTTGAAATATCACACAGATGATATGGGATCAAGTGTGGCTGCCAACTCCAAAGCCTGGATACTTCTGGGTCCTGGGTTCTCTCCATTCTCCCTGGGCGTGAAATCCCATTCAGGATGAATCTACAGAGAGCCTAGTGTAACCAGGATACAGGGGAGAGAAGGGGGTTTCTTGCTGGTAAGACCTCCTGGATTTTGGACCAATCAAAAGCTAACAATCCATTAACACCCTCCTCGGAGCCAGCTTGGTACTTTGCTACTGGAAATTTTTATTTCTTCTAAATGACTAGCCGCTGTTGACTACACTTGGTAGGTAAAAGGGGATGCCACCGCCTGCTCTCTTTGCTTTTAGCATTTCTGCTAAATTTACCTTTCTGCTCAGTGCCCAGTCCCCTTGACCTTTGCCCTCAGTGCCGGGAAAGTGCATATTTGTCCAGCCTTTATGCCACATGGCTCGGAGCAACACATGCTCTACTCTGGACTAAGTACACTTAGCAGAGGGGTAGGTGGCTTTCTACTGACCCTTCCCTGAAGCACTTGTATTTCCCGGGCTCTCCTGGGACCTCTGTTAACGGGGAACAGTGATAGGATGGGGCAAAGGAGACAGAAAACTGTGTTTTCACTGTAAATCGGGAAGTGGCCCTAGATAACCACCGGAGCCTTGCTCCACCCTTAACTAACTCCTCCCCCTTCCTCAGTCACTCTGAGCACTTGCTTCCTATAACATATTCAACACTCTCAGCAAACAGTGAGAACTCATTTCCAGGTCCAGACATTCAAGAAGCGCTCAGAGATGGTGCTATTCCCGGAAGTCACTGAATTTCCTTTGCTCTTCCCATCTCAACGTTTATGTTTCCTTACAGCTGTGTCCTGGGCATTTTCTTGTCCCGGGGATCTCATTCTCGCTGGGAAATCTCATTCTCCAGTGTGACAGTGATCGTCAATCATTCTGAGATCTCTCTTTGCAGATCCAACATCTGCGACTTCACCAGACACCTCCCCTGGAAGTCTGGAGACACAGTAGGGAATTTACGATTTGTTCAACTTTGAGGGGGTCAATCTGTAACTCAAAGGCTGACATCTCAGGCCCTGGAAAGCCTCTGGATTGTTCCTTCTACAGCCCCCCCTCACCTTTGCTGTCTTGTGAGGTGAGATCACTTGGAGTGGTGGGAGTGTCACAAGACTTGAGACTACCATCCAGGCTGCCTCCTCTAACATCCATTTGTCTACAGGAAGATTATAGGGCGAACTGAGGGAAGCAAGGTGCAGTCTCAGTTAGAATTCTAGCTCTAGTCTGGGGCAAGACCCTCTGCTCTCTGAACCTCTGGAGGCGGTTGCACTGGATGGCGACTAAGATCCTCTGAGTTTACCCTCTAGTGGAAGCATTTCAGCACTTCTGGGTAGGAGAACTTTCTAGACTACTTAGCTGATAGTTTTTGCTGAGATGATGCTGTCATCTTCAGCATTTTAGCAGATTTCATTCTGTTTCTCTACAGCTTTGTCTCTATACTGTACTCCTCTTTCACCTTTACATAGAATTTTTATGCATTTAAAATGTGTTCTTTGACAATTATACATACATACATACATACATACATACATATATTCCATTCTGATCTCTTGCCCCTCCCATCCCTACCAGCTCACACTCCCTACCAGTCTCTTTCCCGGATTCATGATTGTAGGGTTTGTTTCGTGATCCAGTTTAGTTTAACCAGGATAATTTTGTGACCATTGGATTGGAGCTATCTAAGGGAGCCTGGTGAGGTCACCAGGGGGTGCACAGTTGGGGGCAAGGGGCAATGACTCCATTCTGCCCATATCTCTCTAGGGTATATAGTTCAGTGCTGAGGGTGGAGTGCCCTCTGAACACCCCATTCTCTAAGCCTGTTGGTGGCCTATTCTTTTTTTTATTTTATTGATATTTATTGAGCTCTACATTTTTCTCTGTTCCCTTCCCCACCTCTCCCCTCCCCTCTTAAAGTCTCTCATTGTTGTCTAAGTTCTCTGGGACTGTGGTTTGTAGGCTGGCTTTCTTTGCTTTATGTTTAAAAACCACCTATGAGTGAGTACATGTGATAATTGTCTTTCTGTGTCTGGGTTACCTCACTCAAAATAATGTTTTCTAGTTCCATCCATTTTCCTGCAAAATTCAAGTTGTCATTTTTTTTTTCTGCTGTGTAGTACTCCATCATGTAAACATACCACATTTTTCTAATCCATTCTTCGATTGAGGGACATTTAGGTTGTTTCCAAATTCTGGCTATGAGAAACAAAGATGCTATGAACATGGTTGAGCACATGTCCTTGTGGCACGATTGAGCATCCTTTGGATATATACCCAAAAGTGGTATTGAGGAAAGGTCTTGAGGAAGGTTGTTTCCTAATTTTCTGAGAAATTGCCACCCTGACATCCAAAGGGGTTGTACCAGCTTGCATTTGGTGGGCCCTTTCTTATGCAGAATAATATGCACACACTACTGTTGCTTTCTAGTTTGATCTTCTATTTGATTTCAGAGGAGGTTTCAGATGTCAATCACCGCCTCTTTGTGCTCACACATTTCCCATCTCTTGAGGAGATAATGAAAATCTTCCTTGTAGTTCACTTGGAGACCAGTGAAGGATTTTATGCCAACTTAAGCAATGAACTACAATCTGATAATTAATGAGTGTTTACTTTTGTCTTTAATTTATTGGAATCTATAGCTAAATCCCCTCTTCCATGTTCATTATCCTTGCTATATGCATTTTCAACTGGTGAAATCAGATGTCTGTGAATTATTTTTGTTTTATTTATTGATTGTGCTCTTATACAGGCTATGGCATGTGTGTGTGTGTGTGTGTGTGTGTAGGTCAGAGGACAGTGCTCAGGTGTTCTCGCCTGAGAGTTCGCTCCTGCCACCTTGTGGGATTCAGGGATGGGCTCAAGCACCTTCAGCCGCTGAGCCACCTGACCTCCTTAAAATGTTTTCTTTTGACACTCCCATTGACTTGAAAAAAATCACCTGAATTGATTCCATAGTTATCATTTTTGTAACCAGAGTCTTATCCCAGAATAGTTTGGAACTTGCAGTCCCCTGTCTCTGCCTTTTGGACTCTAGCAGATTCTCCATTAATTTAAAACTTAAACCAAACCAAACCCAAACCAAATGTGCTTTCCCACTATTCTGCACCTTTCTACCCTTTAGGAGATGTATTCAGCCTTGTATCTTACGTCTTCCAGTGAACTTATTGTATGTTTTCAATCCTCATTGATTGTTTTGCTCTGATTGACATCTTTTCGCTTTGCCTTGCCATTAGGTAGCCCAGGCTGGCCTTGAACACATGATCCTTTTGCCCTGGCCTTTATAGCTTCCACTAACAGTGCATATGCCTGCTACCTCTTCTTAACCACCTCCTCTGCTTCGTCTGTCCTCCCACACATCCTCTTTTCCAAAAGTCACCCTCAGCGGGACCACCAGTGACCTACCGTTGAATACAAATTTGTCCTGACCATCCTCTGAACTGTAGCGAGTCAGTCTACACTATTGGTGCTATTGGGCACTACCTTCTGAGAATTGCCATTCCCACTTTCCTTGATCTTAGTGGCTCGGGTACCTCCTGCCTTCTCTCCAGCCTTTCTGGTTGCTCCCCAGGCTGTTGTTCCTGCTCAGCCTTTCCCCGATGCCTTTCTGTTAATGCCCTGCCAGGCTCTCTCCCCTCTTCCTCCACACTCTCACCCTGGGTGACCTTCTCCCCTCTCATGACTCTATCCCACATGAGCGCTGATGTTGTCCAGGTCCCGTCTCCGCGCCGGCTCCAGACTCATCTCATCAGCTGCCTTCTGGCAGTGTCTGTCTCCATTGATGCCTCCAAGCGCAGGCTTCCAAGGCTGAGCTCATCCCGCCATTCTAGCTCGCGGGCCTCCTCTTTCTGAAAGGCATCAGCACCCACCTAGTGGCCTAAATGTGAACTCTGTATCTCTAGTCTGGTGTTGGATTTCACCATAAACACAAACAAGCAAACAGAGGCTTGGAATACCAAGAAAACAAAACCATGGTGCCAAGAAAATATTTAGAAAATGCAGTGCCTTAAAAAAAAAGAAAAGAAAAGAAAAAGAAAAAAGATAAAAGAAAAAATGGGGGGGGGTGGTTAGGGGTGGCCATACATGAAAAAAAAAAACCAGAAACATGCTGAACTTTCTTATATCTGTATTATGATTTAATATTGTTTGTATTTTGGATGGTATTTTCAGGAGAGTGAATGGCTATAACCTTCTCAGTGACAGATCCATTGATGTGCTAACAGCCCCGGCACTCTCTGTCACCTTTTCTCCATGCTCAGTTGGTTCCCTAAGCCCTGTTGATTTTGCACCATTGATAACAATTGAACCATTTCTCATGCTATCTCTGCGCTTTTCGGTCTGCAGCCTAAATTGCTCGAGTAAGGTCTTAGCCAGCTCTCCCTTGCCATTCATCTTCCACAAAGCTGTGGTGTGTTCCTGGGTGTCACACTCCTTCCTGAACTCTCTCCAGCGCCACTTGGTAACATCAAGAAAGTTCAGCCTCCAAACCTATGTGTCCAGCCTCTCCTAAGTTGGTCGCCCCCCCAACAACTCCTTAGCACTGCTTCACATAGAGCCTCGTCCTTCAAGATCTCCTTTGCTTACTCTGTCCTGTGTGAGCCTCATCCTGCACTATCTCCATGGCGAGATTGGGAGATAGTTCACGAGACGTAAAAGGGACAGAAGACGCTAAACCTGTGAGGTCCAGAAAGGAAGGGACCCTCCTGCCTCTGCAACCTGGTTGCCTGAGTCTCACTTCTCATCCTCAAAACGGATGTGAGAATGCAATCCACACTGCAGAGGATTAAGAGGACAGAAAGTTAACCTGACCGTGGTGTTTAGAGACAGGGCCTTTAGGAGGGGTCTAGGACTGGATAAAAGTCGTCAGAGTAGAGCCGCCATGACGAAATCCTAGCGACTTTAAAACAGTGGTTCTCAGTCTCCCTAGTGCTGTGACTCTAACACAGTTCCTCACGGTGTGGTGACCCCCACCATAAAATTATTCTCACTGCTACTTCATAACTGCAGTTTTACTACTGTTATGAATCTTAATGCAAATATCTATGTTTTCTGAAGGTCTTGGGCGACCCCTGTGAAAGGGTTGGTAGACCCCCAAATGGGTCCCTACCCACAGGTTGAGAACCACTGCTTTAAAAGAAAAAAGAAGAGACCAGATAAGATACGTGTCTGTACTACATGCGTGCCACCTCCTGCTGTCCTGCCACATCGGGTCTCCACAGAAAGAAGACCCCCTCAGATACAAACCCTGGACCTTGGACCTCCAGAAGCGCTAGGCGAATCTGCTTCCTGCTTACACACAGGTAGATGTAGAAACTTAGAAACAGGTTTCCTTTTCCCCAGGGCTGTCTTCAGACATCGCTTTTGTCCCTAACATACAGGTAGGTTCCTTACTGGGGCTCCGTGCAGAAGAGGGGCCATTGTCCTCTTCTCAAAGCTGGCCGCAGTGAGGGCATCTTCCGGACACCAGCCCCGCTCAGCTGACACAACCCGTGTCCTCTGTAAACAGTGCCAGGAGAACGCCATGGCCTCTTCAGTCTGGGGCCCTTCACCAGGGGGCTCCCAGTGCGGGGGTGGAGGGCGGGAGAGCTGGAGCGAGCCAAGCTGTTTGTTTTCTCCTTTGTGTTAACAATGCAACATCTGTTCCCCAGCCTGGCAGCTGGACCAAAGTGAAATGATGTGAGCATTCATGGCTCTTTGGTTAGCAGGCTGGGTGCTGGGGGGGGGGGGGGGGAGGAAGGAGGAGGCAGAAGGGGTACCGCGAGGAGCCCCACACCCTCCGTGGACAAGAACAATCACAAAAAGAAAATCTGCAGCCCCCATACACACACACCCCCATCAAGAGAAAAGCTAGGTGACTTGGTGTCCTGGTAGATTCACAAATTGTAACTATTACCCTGCAGGTTTAAAAGAATCACTCAATTAAAAGGATAGTGTTTGCATAGTAAATATCTATTTTGGCTCATGCACTTTGATAAAAATTGTCTTTATTTACTTAAGAGTAAAGCTGACAGAGGTGGAATGAGACTGGAGAAGGATCATGTGAATGAGGAACACAGCAGGGGCGGGGGAGGACCGAGCACCCAGGCTGGTGGCTTGCCTCTTCTCGCTCCATCCCTTATGCCTTCCTCAACTTTGGTACCTAAAGGTGGCTGGCTCCATGGCTCTGTCCCTCTCATCTGCATTCACTCGCAATATTCTCTTCAGCCCAGCGGGTACGAGGTCCTTTCCCAGTTCACACCGTACACTATATCCAGGTCCGGAACTCCTGCCTCCTGTATCCAGCTTCTTGCTTACCATTTCCAGCTTGCCGTCAAGGGTCTATGAAGCTAAGCATCCCTAAATGAGCTCTTGATGCCCTGGATGCTGTCCACCTGCACTTCCGTCCACCTCATCCCGTCGTGTAGTGGTTTGAATAAGAAATACCCCCCAGGGGCTCAGGTATTTGCACGCTTGTTCTCCCATGGATAGTGCAGTTTGGGGAGGTTATAGAATCTTAGGACGGTCAGTCTTGCTGGAAGCAGCACAGCTCTGCAAATGGACTTTGAGGGTTTTTAGTCACCCCTGCTTCTAGTCCACTCGTTGCTTCCTGTGTGTGATTGAGATGTGATCTCCAGCTTCCTGCTCTGGGCTCCTGCTTCTGTGCCTCCCGTCTCTTTATGGGCCCTATCCCTCTGGAACTGTAAGCTCTTGGTTTTATTTTTGTGTTTTTAAATATTCAATTCTTCTTATTTTATGTATATGAGTGTTTTGCCTGTGTCTGTGTACCACATGCATGCAGTGTCTTTGGAGGGCATTGGAGACCGTGGAACTGGAGTTAGCGTTGTTAGCTACCATATGGGTGCTGTGAAATGGAGCTGGGGTCCCATGCAAAGGCAGTAAGTGCTTTCAGTGAGCCATTTCTCTGGTCCCAAGTGTGTCCTTCTATGAGTCCCTTTTGATTATGATATTTTATCTCAGCAACAGAGAACAACTATCTTATGGTATGGTCGTATGAAAGAAAATGGTCCCCCAAGGGGAGTGGCCAATCAGGAAGTGTGGCCTTGTTGGAGGAAGTGTGTCACTGTGGGGGAGGGCTTTGTGGTCTCTTCTCAAGCTTCACTCAACGTGATAGTCAGTCAACTTCCTGTTACCTGTAAGATGTAGCACTCTCAGCTCCGGCACCACGGCTGCCTGCACGCTGCCATGCTCCCTTTCATGATCATAATGTACTGAATCTCTGAAACTGTAAGTAAGCCATCCTCAATGAAATGTTTTCTTTATAACAGTTGCTGTGGCCATGGTGTCTCTTCACAGCAATAGTAAACCCAGCTAAGGCACATTGCTTAATGGCAGCTTCGTTATTCTTCACTTCCCTACTCTCCCAGCACAGTTTGACTTTAATGAATCTCAGTCCCAAATGTTCCTTCTCACCTCAGTGATTTTTTTGGAGCAACCATTAGTTCTTAACTACATATTACAACAGCCTCTTGACCGCTGTGTCTACTTCTGCAACTTCCAACTTCTCTTTCTGTTTTTATTTTGTTTGTTTTGTTTTGTTTTGTTTTGTTTTAAACAGGTTTCTCTGTATAGCTTTGGAGCCTGTCCTGGAACTTACTTTGTAGACCAGGCTGACCTCAAGATCCTCCTGCTCTGCCTACTGAGTGCTGGGATAAAAGGCCTGAGCCACCACCACCCAGGCTTCTTTCTGTTCTTTTAATTAAAGAATATTGTTGTCAATTCATGTCTGAATGAGTGTAAGTCCGTGTGTGTGTGTGTGTGTGTGTGCGCGCGCGCGCGTGCAGGTGTACCTGCTGAGACCAGAAGAGGATGCTGGATTCCTTTGGAGTTGGAGTCACAGGTATTTGGTGCTTGTGATGTGGATGCTTGTCCGCAGACCCAGGTCCATATGACTGCTGAGCCATCTCTCCAGCCCTTGCATTGTCTCTTCTTGTTAATCTAACCTCAGTCTGTGAAATTGTAATTTTTCTGTTTCTGTTTAAAACTTCCAGCAACTCCCCATCCTACTCAGAGTGTGGAAGCCTTTCAACCATCCAAGAACTTCTTTTATGCCTGGCTTCCTGCTCACTGTCTCTGATAGTCTCACTGATAAAGGTCCACCCACCCCTTTCCGCTCTGAGACCATGCCAGGCCCAGTCTCAGCCCAAACCGTTTTCTGGGCCACTTTTCTCCAGTGTCTGTGAGCTCTCCCGTCTCCCCCTTTCATCTTTATCCTGCTGTTTCCCATGTTTTCTTTTTTCCCTCGTCCCCCCCACCACACACAGTATTTTCCACACCTACATCTTCTTCTGACTTACTTTGTTTATTGTCTCCTCCAGTGGTGAGGGAGCTGTAGGAGGCAGGTGGGAGAGTTGTCTGGAGGCAGGGGTAGTGAGGGGAGCTTCCTGGAAGCGGGAGTGGGAGGGTGGGGAGTGGTAAGGGGAGTTGTATAGGAGCAGGTGTTTTGTTTTTTTTATAATCAGTTTTGTGCATTGATATATATATCTAGTCCCTGGAACAGTGCTTGACACATAGAAGGCGTTCTGTTAATTATTTGGTATATGCTGAATTGATGAATAAACCAATGGATAGGTACAGGAACTCCGCTATTGTTTATAGCAAAGAGGCTAGGCTGCTAAGGGATTATTGTGGCCACTCAGTACCAATGGGAAAGTGGTTATTCTGGCCGTGACTCTTCTCTGCCCCTGATAAAATAAGAAGGCAAAGCAGATGTCTCAAACCTGGCCATGCATGTGTCTTCTGGAGAAGGGTTTGGGTCTACCTAGTGAAAGACAAGAACAAAAGCTCTACTCCCTCTCATTCCCTCCTGTGCTCCTTAACAGGTCAGCTGCTGTTGAAGCCTCTCAGGCAAAGGCGGTGGTGAGGACTGGCTGTCCGGCAGCCGGTCACCCAGACACAGCACAGCAGAAAGCTTAGGCTGCAGGGTGCCAGGTTAGAGCCTGAGCTCTACACATGGCGGGGCGACCACTACTCGCTCTCCAACTCCCTTTGTTGGAGACGTCGTTGGTCCTTGAGGGTGGCATCCTTCCATGAGGCCCTGTTTCTTGAGCCTCCTTTTTCACCCTTTAAGGATCGGAATGGAGTGAAGGAAGATGTCGCAGAGCTGAGCTAATCCCGGCTCCCGGGAGCTCCCACTCTCACGCTCACTAAGAACTTCGCGTGCGTTCTTGCGTGTTCTTTTCAGCCCTTAGGAGTAGTTGTTAGTTGCCTGTTGCAGGTCTTATTGTGTTATTTCCATGTGTGTGTATAACAAACATGGATCGTGTCCACTCCTCCCTAACCTGTTTTATTACCCCATCCTCTTCTTTATGGACAAATAATAGTCTGTTTCTCTCCCTCCTATTTACCCATCTGTCTGTTGATGGGCACCTAGGCTGAGCTCATTACTTGTCTATGTACATATCAGGTTCATGCCTGTTGGGTACCCAGGAGTGGTATAGCTGGGTCAAATGACAGTTCTATTCTTAATTGTGAAAGCTATGTACTTATAATCAAAGTAGTGTCCCTAATTTATATCTACTGCTTATAAGGGCTCCACATTTTCCTCTCCATCCTGGCCAAATTCACTGTTTGGTTCTTGCTGTTTGTTTCTGGATGTGCCATTCTGATGGGATGAGATAGCCTCAGCAAAGCTTTGCATTTTCCTGATGACAAGAATGATGAGCAGTTTTTAACATATTTATTAGCCATCAGTACCTTTCTCTCTCTCTCTCTCTCTCTCTCTCTCTCTCTCTCTCTCTCTCTCTCT